TATAGTGACCACCATAACCAGTGTCGCTTGCATCTGAAAATACAACCGTAGTTGCCGAGAATTTGGGTTTGATACGAAAACCGTTTAGAGCGTCCACAGTACTCGACCAAAACAAAAGTTCCTGAAGCACAGGTCCAAATATATTGACGATCTGCGACCACGACGATTGATTCTCAATAGTAAAATACATTTGCCTCGTAAATAGACAAGTAATCGGACCAACAGCGATAGACAAAGATACCAAAAAAAAAACGGCAATACGAGCAAGCTCTGTTCACCGTAATTACGGTCAAAATTAAATTCCTTACCTTGTCAACTTTACACTGTGGGAGGGAAAATTCCATCCGCAAGGTGTTAATGACAAACCCCAACCATTCACTGATTTGAGCGGGCTCCCAGCGACTTTTCTGCTCGTTAACTTTAAGACCAGATTTATGCAAATCAGTTCGTTGAACAATACTAGCTGCTCTAGCAGATGTTAAACAATCGTGACCAGAAATACCGTCGTCTAAATACACTATTGACGCGTGTGACATACTACGCCATCTCTTAACCAACGGCCTTAGAAGCTTAGTAAAACAATAACAGGCAGTGCTCAAGCCGAACGGCAACACATTGAATGTAAAATACCTGATCTCGCCGTCAAAATTCCAACAAAAACCCAAAACTTGCGATGTTCATGCCAAATATCTACAAGGTGATAGCCGGATTCAAGATCCCCCAAAAAAAAAAAAAAGTTGTCGGAGAACATCTGAGCTAAAGTTTTTAGGTCTACATATCTAAATGAAGGCTTCGCTAAGTAAAGGTTCACATGTCTGAGATCGAGAACTAATCTGAGCTTTTTCCCCTCTGCCACTGTCAAAGGGTTTACGCAATAAGGTCGTGAAACACAGCTATTGGCAATTAATTTATTGATTGCTTGACGAACGAATTGGGGGTGCTTCCTGCTGGACAAATTATTTTTACCCACAAACTGCGGGGGATAATTTGAGAAAGGTAAACGGTAACCAAATGCAATTAATGAACGTACAAAAACTGGGCAGGACAAAGAATTTTGCCAGAAAGACAATGAGCTCTAGCCGCCCGACCACAGACCGTGACAATATTTGCTCAGAATTGCATGCATTTAACTCTATGTTATAAACGCTAGGCGAAGCCAGAACATTGGGATGAGAAAAAACAATATTGCCCAGGCCAAGTGTCGCCGAATTAGGATGGGTGACTTTTTGTCGGCAAGCCGCAAGCATCTGTTCTGCAAGTGTCCGAAATCTCCGCACCTGAAACAGGGACCAATCCGGAATTCAGAAGTGTGTGATCCTTGACGTGCATCTCTGAACAAGTATGCTACGAGTATTCAAATTCTGTTGACTGGGTTGGGTTCGGCGATAGCGCTTTTTTTGTTTGATTTTGTCCCTGCACGTTTTTCGGAACGCTGAATACGGTTTTCGTCATCAGTTTCAGAGGCCAACTCATCAGAAATGTATCCATTCACTGTGCCCTACTCAAATTCGCTTTTATCGGCCAGCTTGATAAGCTTCATACGTTGAGAAACCAGAGCCATACCTTTCTCGAGAGCGTCTTTGGCTTTCTCCACAGCATTCTTAGTAGTGGCATCCATGGCAGTATGCAGGCACTCCATCACCTTCAGCTCGTGCTCGAACTGCTGCCGATCATCAGGTTTTTTGAAATCATGCTTGTCGGCCCTGGCACGTTTTGCCGCCGTCTCAAGAGCTTCGCTATTTTCTTCAGACAAGTCGCCCTTAAATTTCGGCAAACGGTCTTCTACAACGGTGGTAATATTGCTAGTAACATCGTCGAGCAAGTCCTTGATGTTTGGTGGTGTTATCGGTTCACTAAGGCCTTCCGTCGGTGTGGACATCGTGAGTTGTTTGCAACCGAGACTGAATACAATAGAATACTCTTCTTACTATACACTCATGAGCACCTGGCTACTTACCCACTAACCAATCGGATCAGGTGCAATGACACCTGAATAATTTACATACGAATAGATAGCAATTATCTGCTAATCTACGAAACGCAGATAATTTCTCATTCATTTTATGACATCGCGTCTATTTCTAATTAACCAAACCCACAATGCGGGCACAATAAAATTAGTGGTAGAAAAGAATCATGTAGTAACAATTACTAGACACATGGAAACTGGTACACACGTGGTACTATTATGAACCTAGCGTTTGTACATGGCACGTCAGCATACATCTGTTTGATTGGAGAGTTGTGGGTTACATACTTTTAAACGAATTTGCATTATTTCTAATTTAGTGTTAAAATGAAGTTTAATTTAGTCTAAAAATCGGCGGCGGCAGCCTATGTGAACCCGTTTCGAAATGCACAATATATTTTTAGCTCAAAGTAGTTACATATGTAGTAATATACAGCGTTCAATTTTTTTCAGTACTATTCAATCCCATTTCTGACACCAATTTTCATGAGGTCGGGTAAAATACTAACCCAAAACACCCAATAATAATCAATAATTTAACACTCTGTGTACAGGTTCTTAAACAGTTACACAATTCATGTAACATTTAGATTGACGGGCACTAATATTATTCAATAAACGCTAAACGCAGTTCCCACTGCACACTAACGAGGGTATACGGTCAGTAAAGAGAGAAAACGATGAAAACACGTACTACGGACACCAACGCAAGGTCTTCATATACTCTTCATATATAATATGTTAGTATGAATGTCCAGTACTTCAATTTCTCAACGAGTGTCGAGTTAACACATTAGAGAAGAGGTAGTCACCTAACCAAATGCAATTAGTAATGTAATGTACAGCAAGTAATTAGATATTTTAAAACACATGTAAATGAATATCCAGTGGTCACGCAGTTAGTTTCTTTTCATAATTACAATCAAGATACTTTTCACAAAGATTTTTATAAATAGATAAAGTGTTTTCGGATTCGCTTGTTAAATGTCCAAAGATTCACGATGTGCGCCCTCATTCGGGTGTGTTCATTACTTGCTAATTAAATCGTTTGAAAAATCAGCTTGGCTAACCATCTGATTAGATAGCAACATTCTCTAAACATCGTCCCAATGAATCACCAAAAAACATAAATTGTCGAAAATGTGGATGGTTTGAATGTTGGCATTTCATGCAATTTACATGCGCTTTTTTGGAATGCACAATTTAGGTGTGTGACACATGCCCATCCATATTTAACTGTATGCCTTATGCATATGTATGTCAAACATAAGTATCTCAGTGTAAAACACTCTCACTTAAACGAATTTATTTACACATATTATTAAAAACAATGTACAAATGTAATGCGCTTCTGGGATCGCGAAGACTCCCGTGACATGCAGGCAACTGCGAAGAGTTCAGTGACTAGAAGTGTCATTACATAGTTCACAGGCACACTGCCAAGCTGACCACCTTCTGTAGTGGGGGGACTTATTATGCTTGTATACTATTGACAATAAAATCGTGGAAATTCTCTAATCACAGCCTCGTCTGCACTAACAGTAACATTACCTTCTCGGAGTAAAGCATTACTTATGTGACTGCTTTGTTAAAGATATTGTCTGGTGCTAAATTGAATAGAAACCACGCGGGTCACGTTATTATATCACATATTTATGCTTTGATGTGTTGGAGTTGGGTATGTGCTCCTTTAGAACTAAATTTGGGTCTTTGATCACATATAAACCAGTTACTGTCGCTTTAATGCATGGGGTAAGTTTGTCATCGTCTGTCAATTCATATTTCTATCCGCCATCAACCACACAATGCCACCAGACATTTAAACATATTCATTGATTTAGATTCCCAGAGAGTGGCTGACCTATTGGCATTCAATTCCCCCCCCCCACTAAAGAGGATGAGGAAACAGTATAACATCACATTATCTGTTAGACAGCGAATAATGTATTAACACGGGGTGAATGGAATCCACCTTCGAACTTGACCAAGAGGTACTATCATACAATGAAAATTCTCAGATTCATAGCATTGACACATAGCGGGATACATCAAGTCATTTTGTAGCAATATGTAACAAGATATATCGTATCATTGAACGATTTTATGATAACTGAAAGAAATATTGAACAAAGAAATTCAGATACACATTTGCATCAAATGCAACTACACAACTAACAAGAGTGCGTGCAAACAAAATATAGTATTATTATTTTTCTTTTTTATTTGGTTTGTAAATAATCATATTCATTCAAATATGATCATGTCATTCGTATTGTCATTCTAAAATGATTTAAAATAATATCAATTTGTTATGCACTATCGATAAATACTTGTACTTGTATAGGCCTAATAGTTTTAAACACAGTCTATCACTACAATAAACTGTTATTACATGAATACCATCTTCCAAGAAGGTTCAAACGTATATCTGGAACTGCGTACTATTATTATATATATACCTATCCATTGGTATACTTTCTGTGAATATATATGTCATCCTGAATGAATAATATATTATGTCAACATGATATAAATGCGCCGTTTTAATAAAGTTGAATGTGTAATACGTGCAATGGATTATGTACATGTTGACATAACGATATTGTGTGCTTCAAAATAGTAATTAGGAGTGTTTACGTATACACCGACTCTGTGCATGTCAATACAGATGTTTAGAATTCCATTGCGCGTTTATACTTATCTTGTGTTTTCATAATTTAATGCGAGATCAGGGTAGATATGTCTAGGCCTATACCAATATGATACAAATTATATTGTATCTTGCTTCATGAATATCAAGTTTACCCAGAATTTATGAAAATGATTTGAGCGAAAACAATATTCAGCAGAGAAACGAGGCTGGTAATCAAAATTGTCTACTATACACACGAGAATATATTTGCTAATATGTAATACCACCACTTAATGTCATATGTAATGAAGCCACGTCGTTGGGAGTAACTTGTTAATACAATACATAATGTACGTGTAAATTCTGCTTATATTATAGTTAATATGCATTTTTTATGATTCATATTTTGCCGAGCGACTGATACTGAGATTCTTGTACACTCTGAAGGTCTTGGTAATATCCCTGTGGATCTTTATTTGGATCTGTGAGAAGGTAAATATACATATTTAGTAATATATGGACGTTGCAAATAATATCTTTTAATATACAACCTGATAGTGTGATGTCACAATCACCGAATTAAGTTGAATTAAGGTGAACTATGGGTTGGAATAATGAATTGATGTGCAAATTCCATCGATATAAACATTTAGAATGTATATATATAGCGCATATGTATATAGCGGTTGATGATAGCATAGTCAACTAGTAATCACAATATTAAATTTATGAATTACACAGATGAAGCTAAATCGGTACATCGACATGAAAATTTAATTTTCGCATAGTTGAATCATTGTATTTTATTGTATTATAATAATTTAATTTGTTTACCTCTAGTTTCAAACGACTTGGAGTTGGCTGTTCGTGTTTGCATTGAAGACTTGGCGACATTGCTATTAAAACAACATAGAAATCTGAAATTAATTTATTAAAATGCTTTATACATTACATAACTGCAATTGCATTTGAACTGCATTTGTAAGTTGTCATGTACTGTTTTGTATTTTTGACAAGTAAATAACAATTTTAACAGTATATTTGTCACGTGATCACGTATAATATAATTAAAATTCAATTCTGAATGTATTATTTGCAATATGTCACAGACCATATATTTAAGCAATATATATATGCACGAGCCGCGGTATAGTGACAAATCGATAAAACTCAAAGAGACTCGTGCTATATCCTACTTCGA